GAAAAACCGCCAGTCAAACTTGGATAAAATACAAAATATGAACTGGACTAAATTGCGGGGACAGGCATCATGGCTATGGCTATGTGGTAGCTAAAGGATGACTCTGGACGGTGCTTACTGGCTGAAGACTCAGTGTGTTATGAGACAAAGGGCAATATACTACAAAGGTGCCTAGAGGGGGTCACTAAATGAACTTGCAAGTGCCCAGAGGGGGTCTCTAAATGAACTCACACTGAATGGTTGACTGAGCACAGCCAACTGAGGGCGCTATACAAATAACATACAAAAGTGACCTGTCACATTTGCGATATCTAAGTGCGTGTACACCTATCGCAGATCATGTACCGCGGCCAAATTGTGCTGTACAAATACATTGTGAGATCCAATATATCGATGTTTTCACAAATGATATTGCTTCACATAAATCTGAAATAATATCAGATGTAAGTGATCACTTGCCTATTATTACATATGGCCCATGTATTACAAAGAAAATGAATACAACTACATCATACTATTAGAACAGAAACACATCTGAGCAGAATATTCACACCTTTAAAAGTCGAGTCAGCTGACTGGAAGTCCACTGTTACTGCAAATGATGCTAACAACTTTTACTCCCAATTTATGCAGAAACTCGACTCCCTCTATGATATATGTGATCTGTACAAGAAATTCAATACAAAAGATACTTCTGCCAGTCCCTGGCTCTCAAAGGGCACACTTAAATCAATTCGGCGTAAACACAAATTGTATAAAAACAATACTTACACAACCCCAGTGTGTTTAATGAACGAAAGTACAAACAATATCGTAACAGTTTGACAGTTACTATTAGAGCAGCCATGAAAAACTATTTTGTAACGTCGTTGGAAAAAGAAAGGAATAACATAAAGACTACTTGGAAAAGTATTAACTTAGCTCTAAACAAGAAAACCACAAAGTCAAGTAAAACTATTTTAGCGTCAACAATAACACCGTTATCAACCATAATCCATGGCAGAATGTTTGAATAACATCTTCACCAGCATTGGACCCAAACTGGCGTCCACAATTACCCATCGTGATACTGATCCTGTTGATTATATTAAAGATGATTACCCTCGCTCCTTTTTCCTAACTCCGATCACCAGAAATGAACTTATGAGGTGCGTAAATAAACTGCCGGCTAACAAAAGTCCAGGCCACGATGGCTTTACTGGAATTACCATAAAGCAAATTGTGCCGTTCATTTTAGACCCTTTGCTTAAAATTATCAATCTGTCGTTTATGCATGGTGTACTGCCTGATAAACTAAACCTTGCGAGAGTTGTTCCAATTTTCAAAAATGGCGACCCTCATACCATCTATACTTATAGACCAATATCCATACTTCCGTGTTTTTCAAAAATTCTGGAACGTTTGGTTGCCGATCGCCTAAACTTATTCCTTAAAACATTTGACATCCTCAGCAATACTCAGTATGGCTTCCGAGCAAATTATTCTACACAAATGGCTGTATTGACCTTATAGATAAAATCACCCAGTCACTCGCTAAGTCACAAAATACAATTGGTGGCTTTCTTGATCTGTCCAAAGCATTTGACACCATTGATCATGATATATTACTTAATAAACTGTCAAAGTATGAGGTTAGAAGGATTGTCCTGGACTGGTTTCGAAGTTGTCTTTCTGATAGAAAGCAATGTTGAGTGGGAGCATCAAAGATCAACATCTCAAATAATTAAATGTGGTGTACCCAAGGCTCAATATTAGGTCCTATTTTGTTTCTCCTATACATAAATGATTTATGCAATTCTTAAAATATATTGTCTTATATTTTATTTGCCGATGATATTAATATCTTCTACAGTTGTGACAATTTGCAAGTAGGTTTGAGAATTGTGAATAGAGAACTACAAAATATTTCTACATGGTTAATTAGTAACAGAGTCGCAATCAATGACCAGACGAGTCAATTGATAAGTATGTAACCAATCTAATAAGTGAAGACCTGTGAGTTCGGCAACCTCAAAGACTCTCTCATTCGTGATAAGATCGTGATCAGAATCCACCCAGATGAAGTGAGAGCACGTCTTCTCAGAACAAAAACCTTTTGCTCAACAAAGCCAGCATCTCACCAAGCTGAAACCCCATCAAGATGTCCATGCAGTCGCACAAGCTTCTGCGTCTACAAGGAATTGCTGCAGCAAATGTGGTACCACACATCCACCACTCAACTGTCCCGCCTTTGGCCAGATATGCCACGCCTGGGGAAAGCCGAATCACTACAGCAAGATGTGCTGTTATTCCAAAATGCCTTCCATGCAAAGGAAAACAA